GCTTTCCAAAGTTTAAAAGCATGTTCTTATAGAACTCGACGAGCTGAGTTCAACGCTTTTTTCAGATTTCGAAAATCTTGATTTCTGAAGCGAGTTATAACGAAAAAACGAAAAAGAAACGCGAATTTGCGTTTTTCGCGTGTTTTTTTCGATTTTTTACGGCGAGTACCGTAGTTTTCCACATGGTTAGACTCGCCACAGAGAGACGAGTCCAATGGTGTAGAGCACCAATCATTTGACCCGCTTTGGGGGGAGTTATGAAGGGGCGACGCTTTGCGACGCTGCAAATCCGTCGCTCAGCGGAGAAATTTCAAAAGTTAGTGGCGGTATTACTTTGAATGATGCACTTGGCGCAGATCCATTCCGTTCTTGTATGCGCCATGCAGTGACCCCACTCGGAGTCATTGGGAAGGTGTTTTGTCCTAGTGACGACTTGCTTAATCACACCAAAAGATTTCCAGTATTAACTAATTAGAATAACTTTTGTGGTCATAGTGATGTCTGATCACTCCTTTATTCAAATCGCTTCCTTTCCAAACCCGTTCTGATGAATGCAGCTGGCAGCGCGGATCGGGTGATGCCAGGTTGTAGGGTGCGGATTCTCGCTGTTTTAAATTTTACCAAGTGTGTGTCTCCCTTAAGTTCTCGTAGCTGTGCATCTTCTGGGACGAATCCGCTGCCTTTTCCACAGATCTTTTGAGGACCCGTGCCTTCCTTATGCTATGTGTCATCGAACAAACAGCAAATGTTAAGATGTTCTTTGCATTAGTAAGATAAAATTGTGACTATGATGACAGAATAAGTTGGGCAGCGCCCGTTGTATCATTGATAGCGTTAGATTGAGCCCTCAATCTCATCCGGAAGCAAATACGCCCCCTGGGGTTAGGATTTCTCGGACGTTATTCACCTGCTGTTAAGTAGTAGCCAGAGGCCTTGCGGACCGCGGCGAAATCTCGAGCTAGGGCGTGGTATCTCTGAGGAGTCCTAGCAGGGTAGTGACGGAGAGGCCTCTAGGAGGGGGGGGGGGGGCATTTTCGCACTTTGCTATGGGATAGAGTTTGCGCTCGCCTAATCCTAGCTCGTGGCTTTGAAGCACGAAAGGCAGCAAACAACCATTGAGAAATGGTTTATGATTAGCTTTGTGAGTGGAAGTTAAGTCGTAAGCCGATTGAGCCTTTGTTTTTTTTTGGTGGACATTGGTGATATTGAATAAAAAGCGGTCAAAAATCATGGGTCAGTTTGCCATCATGTTAAGACAAGTACTCTCGAATTTCGATATAGGTGTTTTGCTCCGTTTCTTTCGCTTCTATCTATAAGATGAGTGATGGTAGGCAGTAATGATACTGATAGGTAGTATGGTGAGAAAATGCAGAATAATGTTCAACTTTTCCTTTTATTCAACATCTCAGCACTGTGGAACGAAGAACATCACGAAGAAGACCTCGAAACAAATTTATCCTATGGGCAAACCAGGTATCTTTGGAATACCTGGTATGGGCAGATCCGGTATCTTCGGGAATCCCTGGTATGTTTGGAAGCCCTGGTATGTTAGGGAGACCTGGTATGTTTGGCAGACCTGGTATAGCAGGCCCAGGCGCATTTGGCTGGGGTGCGTTTGGCTGGGGCGCATTTGGCTGCGCCGTGATTTCACCCGGTATATTAAAGGAAGCCTGGGGTAGTTTTGGCAGTACATAGGTATGTGTTGGCGCCTGGTATGAGGAGCTGGTGGCATGTTGGCTGGGGGCGCGTTCGGCTGAGCCACGTTTGGTTGTGCCGGCTGGTTCAGTCCTGGTATATTAGGCAGACCTGGTATGTTTGGTAGACCCGGTATATTTGGAAGGCCTGGTATGTTTGGCAGGCCTGCAACAGGCACAGGTACAGGCACAGGTACTATGGCCGGTACAGGCTGTACTGCTGGTATAGGCTGTACGGCCGGCACTGGTATAGGCTGTACGGCTGGTACTGGTATAGGCTGCACAGCCGGTATAGGCTGTATTGCCGGTATAGGCTGTACAGCCGGTACAGCTGGCACTGCCGGCACGCCGGCACGGCCGGCACGGCCGGCACAGCCGGTATAGCAGGTACAGCCGGTACGGCTGGTACTGCTGGTATACCAGGTACTCCGGGCATCATTGGAACTGGAGGAAGGCCAGGTACAAATGGTACTCCAGCAATGGGGGGACACACGGAAAGCATGGAAAACACATTGTTGGAGTACAGATGAATTTTGCCTTTTTAGGAGGAGCGGGCGAATGGGGTTCCAAAGAGGTCTCATTCAGCATCGTATTTGGTTCTTCTTCAGATTCTGAAACAGATTCAGGCAACGTGCTAACTTCTACTTCGGGGTCTGGAGGACTGCCATTTGACGTGACGGCATCTTCTTCTGACTCTGCAGGAGGTTCAGCAGACGTTACGATTCCTTCCTCTGATTTTGGAACAGTTTCAGCTGTCGTGGCAATTACTCCTTCAGATTGTGAGAGAATTCCAGCAGTCGTGTCCCCGTTCGCGATCTCACGTCTCTGAAATTTGAGAAGATATCTGTTGGGTTTTTGTCAAGTTTCATGATTGCTTCGAACTTTGCTTTTAATTACGTTAGAGGCACCCGTTTGCGGACATAACACATTCGCCCCACTGAATTGTAATTCGAGGTTAGGGGAGCGTGCACAAAGAGACGGAAAATGAAGCTTATGGTGATGCTATGACCAGGGACGGTAGCAAAGTACCCTTAACTCGCAATCAGAAGTAACGATCGGAGATTCTAAGCAAAGAATAAAGAATGGAGAGTGCGATCCAGCCCAGATCAAGCAAGAGCTTCCTACTTTAGATTTCAGACGACAAAATATCAGGAAACGAATAAATAAGAAAAAAAAGGTTGCAAAAGTACCTGAAGATTATGGATCGCAGCTGCATTCTTTGATTCCTAACAGGTTGAGCTGGTCAGAGAAGAAAAAAGA